CATTTTCCTACAGACGTCTAACAGCATCTCAAGCTCACACAACCAACATGGAACTGCTGATCTCACAGCTCCAGACCCTGCTACACTCCAGCCTTTCTCATTAAAGTGGAAGGCAACATCATCCTTTGTTATATTGTAATTCTGTGACTTGGGGAAGCAGGCAAGGTGTGATAAAGAAGTGATACCAACTTTGCAGAGCAGCTGTTGGCTACTCAATACATCAAGATGTGAATTTCAGGCCAGGGAATTTCAGTCCTCTTTGATTTCGCCTAAAAGGAGAGAAAGCTCCACGCTCAGTTTGGCACGTTGGTTTGACCTTCAAGGCGTCCTTGGAATCGTCACGTCTTACCACCTCAACTGCAGTTTCTCCAGTGTGAGCCACCATCATTCCATGCCTGGATGGAATGATGGTGGCTCACACTGGATTTTCTGCCATCATCTTCAAACACTTCCCCTTCTTCCTACCCCCGGCATCTCCCTGAGCCTCATGCTATTTTCAGCAAAGCAGCCAGACTGAATCTTTTAACACAAAAGTGAGATTGTATTACTACTCTGCTGTCAGGTTTTCAATGGCTTTCCATCTCACTCAGCAAGAAAGACAAGCCAAAGTCCCGCCAAGGGCCCGTGAAGCCCTGTTTGACCTGGCACCTGCTGACCTCCTCCTCTGTCCTCCAGCGTTCACTCCCTTCTCTCCGTCCCTGCAGGCCGCCTGCTATTCCCCAATGTGCTTGGCACGCTCCACGCTCTGGGCCTCTGCTCTTGCTGTTTCCTCTGCCAGAAATGCAATGATCTCCCTCTGGGTATCTGCTTGGCCAACTCCGTATTTTTGCTCAAAACTCCCTTTTGCAATGAGGCCCACAGAGGCCACTCTAATGCTGCAACTAATCACTCTCTTGCTGTGAATTGCCAATTCCCCTCAACCAACTCTACTTTTCCCCCATGGCATGTACCACTTTCTAATATACTAGATAATTTACTATGTTTCTTATCTATTTTCTATCTCCCCTACTAGAATGTAAGTTCCATAAGAGCAGGACTCTTTTTCTATTTTATTCCAAGTGCCTAGAATAGCACCTGACACATAAAGCTGCTCAGCAAATATTTGTTGAACAAATGCATGAATGGTTACGTGACTGGCACCATTATTTGGTGGCTTGAATGTTGACGCCAAGAACTCAAGAAGAAATAAAATGTTTCATAGATTCTACACACCAGACCAAATGGCAAATATCAGGGGACTCACCTCCATTAGTCTGTTGATTTGCTGAACTCAGATCACCGGCTTGGTGATATTGGAGGTCACCTAACTTTAGTGCCTCGGTTGCCTTCCTAAAATACAGAAATAACCTTTAGGTGTGGAAGCCTATGTCTCAGTCTTAGGTCTTGTCTTCTTTCCTCTTCACCCTCAGTCCTTTGATGATCTTAGTAAATCTCTTGGCTTTAAATGTAATCCATATGTCAATGTGATGGTTTTAAAATATGCCCACAAATTATTCGGTATTTTTTTCCCTCAAGAGGTAAAGCTTAATATTTCACCTCTTGAGTGTGGGCCAAACTTGTTGACTTGCTCCTTAGGTCGGACTGTGGCAGAAGTGATGGGATCTCATTTCCTATGCGATGGGAGATTTTGCGAGAATTAAATGAATTACTGCAAGTAAAGGACTTAAAAAGTGCCTGGCACAAAGTAAGAGCACATTCTGTTTGCAGCCTTCATCAGATTTGTCTCTGAGAGAAACCTAAAATTTATCTTTCCAAATGACTGCTTTGTATAAGTCTTAGTGAGGAAATTTTCTCAAGGAATGGGAAATAAATAGGTATCTTATTTTAGTCAGTAGGAACAGGAAGTCTAAATTCTTCAGAATCAGCTTAATCTGCGCTATAGCCCAAATGGATCTAATAGATATTCTATAAACATCTCATCCAAGAGCTGCAGAATACACATTCCTTTCCTCAGCACATGACTTGTTCTCAAGGACAGACCATACGTTAGGCCACAAAACAAGTATCAATTGGAAGAATATCAAGTATCTTCCTTGACTACAATGGAATAAAACTAGAAATTAATAACCAGAGGATTTTCAGAAACTATACAAATACATGGAAATTAAGCAATATGCTCCTGAATAACCAGTGGGTCAACGAAGAAATTAAGAAGGAAATTGAAAAATCTCTTGAAACAAATGATAATGGAACATGTATAGCAAAACCTATGGAACACAGCAAAGGCAGTACTAAGAGGGAAGCTTATAGCTGCTAAGTGCCTACCTCAAAAGGAGAAAAATCTTCAGATAAGCCATCTAATGATACATCTTAAAGAACTAAAAAAGCAACAGCAAATGAACTCAAAATTAGTAGAAGACATAATAAACCTTATAGAAAAATAAATGAAATTGAAATGAAAAAAAAAAAATACAGAAGATCAATGAAACCAAAAGTTGGTTTTTTGAAAATTTAAACAAAATTGAAAAAACTTTAGCCAGACTAAGAAAAAAAGAGAGAAGATCCAAATAAATAAAATCAGAAATGAAAAAGTAGACATTCAATTGATACTGTAGAAATTCAAAGGATTATAAGTGGTGACTATGAGCAACTATATGCTAATAAATTGGAAAATCTAGAAGAAATGGACAAATTCCTAGACACACACAACCTGCCAAGATTGAACCAGGAAGAAATCCAAAACCTGAACAGACCAATAACAAGTAATGAGATGGAAGCCATAAGAAGAAGTCTCCCAGTAAAGAAAAGCCCAGGACTTGATGGTTTCACTGCTGAATTCTAACAAACATTTAAAGAAGAACTAATACCATCCCTGCTCAAACTATTCCAGAAAACAGAGGAGGAGGGAATACTTTCAGACTTATTCCATAAGGTCAGTATTACCCTAAATTCTTCAAAATTCAGCTTGTTTGATAGTTTAGCCTTTGTGAAATGAGAAAGGCAGGTTATGTCAACATGTGAATGACAGCATGGCATGAAATTCACACTGAATTCACACTTTCAGCCTAAAACAAAACAATTTATTTAAATTCACAGAAGATGTGGGAGATGTACTTATGTAACTTGTATTTAAAAAATAATGTTGAAGTTGTGTCTATTTTATTCTAAAACATGATTTTTGGCAAAGAAATAAGGCCTTTTGTGGAGCAAAACGAAGGTTGTTAAATATTGGTAAATGTTGGTAAATATATCCAGTAACGGCCTTACGCTTGGATGTTCCTTAAATTTGTTTGATGGTTTAAAATATATTAAATCCATCAGAGGGGACAGCCAGGGCCAGCGTCATGAACAGATGACCTGTGCAGTCCCTGGGTCCCCAGGCTTGGAGGCCCCGGTACTTGGTGTATTGTTCTGCTCCTGCTTTCTTAAGTTTCTATTACTTTTTGCAAGAAAGGGCACTGTCTTGGGGATTGTGTAGCCAGTCCTGGGGGTGGTTATCATCAACTGTGAATGGCTATTGCCTCAAGAGCAAAAGAATATTTCAAAACCATTTGGGCAAGTTATGAAATATGCCTTTGCAGGTTATACTGTTTATAGTAAAATGCAACTGAAAACACTTCCCTTCGCCTGCAGAGTCACTGGCTGTGCTATTCTTGTCAATGGATTGCTGAGGCTCTCCTGGACTTTTATTCACCAATCCTAATCTCACAGATCAGAAAACAACCACGTGGTCGTAACTCACAAGGCTTTAAAAATCAGATATCTAGTCCATAAAAAATAGTAAAACTTCTTTAAGAGAGTTCCTCATTATACATATTGGAATATGCTACCAAGTATATCTTGAAAACTTACAGTTGAAGATTATCCTACACCAAAATTAGACAAATTAAATAAATTTGCCAAACACACAGGAGTCTCACTCTTTGAATTCAGCAAAACCAAAACACCACACAAAGTAAAGTGTCAGTCATGATTCCTTCCCTTTGTTCATGGAGGCTGGCATATTTTATTTTAATTAATTAATTAATTATTTTTTTTAGACGGAGTCTTGATCTGTCACCGAGGCTGGAGCGCAATGGCTTGATCTCAGCTCACTGCAACCTCCACTTCCTGGATTCAAGCGATTCTCCTGCCTCAGCCTCCTGAGTCGCTGGGATTACAGGCGCATGCCACCACGCCCTGCTAATTTTTGTATTTTTAGTAGAGACAGGATTTCACCACGTTGGCCAGGCTGGTCTTGAACTCCTGACTGTGATCCACCCACCTGGACCTCCCAAAGTGTTGGCATTACAGGCGTGATTCACTGCTCCCACCCAAGGCTGGCGGATTTTAAACCTTTTTGCTGTATTATAAACTCCTTGAGAGCTTGGACTCTGACTCTAGAGTATGGCAAAATGGCTTGAGTGATGCAGACCCTTCACATGCCAGAAGCCATTAGCTGGTAAGTGATTGACGATTTGTTTCAGGCTGGTGAAGGAGGCTGAGATCTCTTCTCGCTCTTCTCTTTTTCTGTGAGCGAGTTGGGGCCTCTACCCTTCCTGGAAAGCACATCAGAAAGCGACTCTACTTCATAGGAAACACTGCACTCAGGTGCCAGCCTGTTCTAAGCTCTGATCTTGCAGTTATTCTTTCAATTCCCACCCCAATCCATCCTGTGAGGAAGATGCTATTTTTATCTCCATTATACAGACAAGAAGTTGGAGGCATAGAGCTTAGTCGTGGTTGGTAAATGGCAGACGGGAGATTCAGCCCAGCACTGGGTTCCAGAGTCTGCGCTTTGATCCAGTCACTGGGGCTGTGGCCCCCAGCCTGGGGAAGAACTGGCCACAGGAGGAGGGAGCAGCGTGGGCGGAGGCACAGAGGCAAAAAGGAGCTGGTCCCTGTGAGGGTGACGGCGGTTCGCAGGATGAGTGCACATCTAGCAGGGCTCCTTCCAGAGTGCTGCCACCCTCATTCTCTAGGGAGTGTCAGGGGTGGGATTCTGGGATCCTCATCCTTGCTAAGCACCCCAGTGAGTGTTAATTCAGTTCCCGGCCACTGCGAGTGCCCTGTGCCAGTGGGAAGCCCCATGGCCAGGCCTGGGGAGGTCTCCGGGTGCGGTGGCCCGTGTGTGCCTCTAGCCAGGCCGCCGGGGCCAGGGCTTGCTGGTGTGTTTGACGCTAACCGTCCATGCCAACCCTGCGCGTTTCCCGCACACCCCACACTGACCTTTCCCTGTCCTCCTGGCTGCTGGGGAGCACGCTGAGGCTGTTTACAAGGGGAACTCAGGGAGTTCCGGAATACAAAGTGGGGGTGGTTCAGGCCACACACCTGCGAGTGCCCTGGGTACCAGCCCGCAGCCCAGAGCCACGTTCAGGAGCTCAGCTGGGCGCCCGCGGAGCCGGTGACAAGGGTGCGTTCTGAGCCGTGGCAGGATTTCCCCAGCTGCTGTTTGTGTCTCCCTGGGGTTTTCTCAGGTCTCTGAAAACAACACATCCCGGGCTGGGATCCGGGGGAAGGATGCCAGGTGGGTTTTGAATTCTTTGAAATCTCTAAGCACCTAAAAAAATAATCATGGTGGGTAGGTGTGAGAAGCTCTTTAAAACGTGGCCCATTTCCCCCCAAAGCTTAAAATAGAGCTTTTCAAGGGAAATTAAATGAAAGTATAAAAATATGTAAATGCTCTTCCTTCCTACAAAACAGAAGTAATGTTACAGGCATCTCCCCCGCCCCACGCCCCTCTGTAGTCAGCACCAGCTGGGCCCAATATCGTCCTTTCCCCCATGGCTCTGGGCTTCTCCCTGTGTTGACTCTGACCAGGGACATCAGCACTTCCCCCAGGGAGCCCACTATTCCTCTGCTGCATTCTACTTGCCTAAAGTCTGTGTTTATCCCCCTGGTTTTTTGTTTTTGTTTTTACACTAGTGTGGAATTTTTAGAAGGCTGTCACATGTTCCTTGGGCTTGTAGGTTTCTTTGTGAAAAATACACCACATCCTGGGAGACGTGGCTCCAGTCCAGAGGCTCCTCTAATACCCCACTGAAGAAGCGTTCATTGCAGAGCTTCCCAAAGCGAAACATGATGCAGGTCAAGTTGACTCAGTGATGGAGTTTCTACATTTCTGATTTCAAATGTATTGCTATAAACGCATTATACACTTTTAATCAAACAAAAAGTCAAGTTTGCATAGGGCTTTTTAAAAAAAATGATGGATTTTCTCTACTTTTCTTGTCCTAGTTTTCTACCCATTACCTGTGTGATGTTGTCTTGGGAATTCAGCCTCTGAGGGCTTCACTTGTCAATGAAGGGGGAGGAAGGACTGAGTCACCTAAGCCCTTACAGCCTGGAAGCGCTGGGAACATGGGCCAGGCTGGGTCCCAAACTCTGGGGCCCGTTGCAGTGCCATTGCGTGTTGCTAGGGTCCTAGAAAGAAATCGAGTTTTAGGAGAGAGGAAGGCGGTGATTGTCACCAACTCACCTCTGCTTGGCAATGACCAGCCAGTCCCTGAAGAGGAAGAGATGCTTCCTGGTGGTCTTGGGGCCCTGGGTTAGCACCACGGGGCTGTGAAGGACAGGCTCAGCATGCTTGAGGGGCAGGCCCAGCTGCAGGAACAGCTGCTCACGGGTCATTGCGGATGCCAGGCTCTTCCTGAGGGTGGGAGAGTGGGATTAGTCCCAAGGGAAGTGTGTCCCTCAGGGAGCTGGCGTGCAATGCCGTGATGTCTCCAAACACCAAGGCACCATGATTGTGGCTTAACCAGAGTGGAAATCAGTGGGAGAAAGGTGCAGATATTTTTTTCTTAAACAAAAGAACTTAAAATCTGAACTTAAACAAAATGGATTTAAAATAAAGCACAGCAAATTGAGCCAAAGCGTTGGACCTAATTCAGGTTATAGCTAATCACTGCCAGTGCTGCCAGTGTTAAGGATTTCTGTGAGAATTTTAACTGAAGGCAGTACTTTCCAAATATTATCAGGCCACAGTGCACACAGCAAATAATGTTTATATCACACTCCGAGGGAAACTGAGGCTGCCGAAGGCCTGCTGGCCCACCCAGGCCAGCCCACACACAGAACAAAGAGGGTCGATACCGTGGCTTTGCCATAACTCATTTGTGGCACGTGGCTTGGGACACTCTGACTTATTACTTTGATTAGCAGAAGTTTTCCCTGAAGGTTGAAAGGTCAGGGATTCCCTGCTGCTAAATCTAAACAAACGCCTCTAAATTCGTGGTTTTCTTCCATAGAGTGATTTAGCAGCAGAGCAGATTAAACATTATCTGTGAGACTCAAGCCGTCATCATTCATTCGCCTGGACTCCAGTACCTTTTCCCTGTGCTTCCTTCAATGCTAGAATCACCCAGCTCCTGTTTCCCTTGAAGCATGTTCTCTTCCTGGTCCTCTATCCCGAGTCTGGGTGGATGGTGAGTTTAGGCCGTGAGAGGTCTAATCACATGGTCATCACATTTGAATGGAACAGCAGATTCCTGCTTTTCCAGTTGCCTTACCTCCACTGCTTTCCATTCTGAACACAGCAGGATTAGCTCTTGCAGGCACATCTTTTACCCAAGGTATCTGCTGTTCCATTCGAATGTGATGTTTGAATAAAGCTGAGTTGGGACACATTTCTGTTATTTAAAAGGCAAAAATTAAAAATTTTGATAGCTGGCTGCGTGCGGTGGCTCGTACATGTAATCCCAGCACTTTGGGAGGCCGAGGCGGGTGCATCACTTGAGACCAGGAGTTTGAGACCAGCCTGGGCAATATGGGAGACCCATGTCTACAAAACACACACACACACGCACACACACACACACACACACACACACACACACACAAATTAGCTAGGTGGCACGTGCCTATAGTCTCAGCTACTTAGGAGACTGAGGTGAGAGGATGGCTTGAGCCCAGGGGGTTGAGGCTGCAGTGAGTGGAGGCTGCACCACAGCAATGCAGCCTGCATGTGTGACCCTGTCTCAAAAAACAAACAAACAAACAAAGCACTTGAGACGCAATACTCAGCGTTTTCCAAAAATCAGTTAAGAGGCATGAGTCTTGGATTTCGTGCCCATTTCGTGATGATGAGTTCCCGCTCTGAAGTGGGACTCTGCTCTCTGGCCTTTCCCCCCAGCAGACACCTCCCACGGCCTGGTGAATAAGTAAGAGCTTTCTCTCCACCAAGCGGGGGTGGGCGTCCATAAATGATACAGCCCAAAGGAAGGCCTGGGTGGCTCTGAGCGGCAGCGTTTCAAGTCTTGCTGGTGGTTAGTTTGCTATTTAGGGAACACGACAGAGAAATTGGGTCTTAAACTGTAATGCATGGGAACTAGAACTTTCTGCTCTGTTTTGAAATGTCTTCTGCTTTTCTTTGAATTTGTTTGGAAAAACGCTTGGTTATTTGCATACACGTGAGGGATAAATAACTCCCTAGCATGGAGCAGACGTGTCTCTCTGATTGCCCCCCATCAGAGCCTGCCTCACTGCCTAGCCCAGAGGTCACCCTTAAATGCCTGCGGGGAAAGAGAGTGAAGTGAGGGCTTGGCAGCGGTGGGACTGTGGAAAACTGTAGAAGTCGTGCTCTGTCCAAAGTGACAGCCCATTAGGGCCACATAGGACGGGGGCCCAGTGTTACTGTCAGTGATTTAAAACACCAGTAAGTTGACATTCTATTAAATGTCCACTCATTCTACGCATTTCTTTTTTTTTGAGACGGAGTCTTGCTTTGTCACCCAGGTTGAGTGCAGTGGTGAGATCTTGGCTCACTGCAACCTCCGCCTCCCAGATTCAAGTGATTCTCCTGCCTCAGCCTTCCGAGTAGCTGGGACTACAGCTGTGTGCAACCATGCCCGACTAATTTTTTGTATTTTTAGTAGAGTTGGGGTTTCTCCGTGTTAGCCAGGATGGTCTCGATCTCCTGATCTCATGATCCACCCACCTTGGCCTCCCAAAGTGCTGGGATTACAGGCATGAGCCACTGTACCCAGCTTCTAAACACTTCTTTAAACACCATGTGGGGGGCCAAGCTCTGACCTCTCCCCGCAGCCATCCCAGCCATCTGCAGATTTAGAGCACATGAAAACGTGCGGCCTATATATACAGAGGCTCTGGCAATGTGGGTGAAATATTTGAATATTTTAAATAAGATGTTATGAACCAAATTGAGAGGAACAGACCTGTATTTATCAGATAATTATTTTATTTATTTATTTTTTTGAGATGGAGTTTCGATCTTGTTACCCAGGCTGGAGTGCAATGGTGTGCTCACTGCAACCTCCGCCTCCTGGGTTCAGGCAATTCTCCTGCCTCAGCCTCCTGAGTAGCTGGGATTACAGGCATGCGCCACCATGCCCAGCTAATTTTTTGTGTTTTTAGTAGTGACGGGGTTTCACCATGTTGACCAGGATGGTCTCGATCTCTTGACCTCGTAATCCACCCACCTCGGCCTCCCAAAGTGCTGGGATTACAGGCGTGAGCCACCGCGCCCGGCCAATTATTTGTTTTTGAGACGGAGTCTCGCTCTGTTGCCCAGGCTGGAGTGCAGTGGCATGATCTCGGCTCACTGAAACCTCTGCCTCCCGGGTTCAAGTGATTTTCCTGCCTCAGCCTCCTGAGTAGCTGGGACTACAGGTGTGTGCAAGCACGGCCAGCTAATTTTTTTATATTTTTAGTAGAGACGGGGTTTCACTGTGTTAGTCAGGCTGGTCTCGATCTCCTGACCTCAAGTGATCCACCTGTCTTGGCCTCCCAAAGTGCTGGGATTACAGGCATGAGCCACCGTGGCCAGCCTCATTTGAGCTTTAAAAAGCATACATGCGTGGATAATCCATGTCATCAAGGGAAGCAGGTCAAGTTTCTTTCTTGAGTGTTCTGCTTGCCGGGCACCTGTCCACACATCGGTCTTGGTCTGCCCACGATTTTAATTTTCTTTCCCCCCTCCTTTCATCCCTGTTCCTCCTGAAGCTCCCCGGCTGGTCCCCGCCCTCCTGCCCTGTTTTGCATTTCTTTGTGATGCCAGGAGAATTGTATACTTGCCAGGGTTAATTTTTCTGACACACACAGAGACCTAATTTGAGTGATGTCATTTTAAAAAAAGCACTCGTGTTAACCATATTTCACAACAAAGGCGCCTCAGCGCTCACTGAGGGGAAATTTTTTAAAGGCACTGAAATAGGAAACAAGTGACGTGGCGAATACCTGGTGAACGGAAACAACTTTGCCTTTTGCCTTTCCATGCACTGATGAATTTCCAGTGGAGTGGGGCCTGTTGGTGGCTTCGCACAGTGAAAGTGCCCCTGGGCTCTGCTCCATGGAGACCTGACCTTCTCTCCCCAGACCTTCACATGAGAAATGACCCAGTAAACTGCGGCTCTGCTGAGTTCAGCATCAGCTCCCGGCCTGAATAGACTTCAAGAGCCTGCTGGAAGCGGGCGGAGGAAGGGTGGTCATAGGTGCACCCTGGGAGTGGGTGGCTGGGCCTCGTAGGTCAGTTTGCCCACATGTGCGCTCCTCTGATCTGAACTCCCAGCATTGGACTGTGGATTTGGCATAAAAGGATGGAGAGTGGGTCAGCATTTGGGGGCTCTGTGAATTACTGGTGACTTTGCAAAGGAAAAAAGTGCAGTTAAAGGGATTTCGGCCATAAGAAGCCTGAGTTGGAAACCATCGTTTCCTGGGCATCTGGGGTTTCGAGGTAACACAGCTGTGGGTCCTGCATTCCACGCAGCCTAGGTGCACGTGCACTGGAGGCCCTCTGTGCCAAGTCCTGGTGCGTACGGCTCTCCAGAGTCGCGCGGTGTGAATGCAGTTTCCCCGAGTATATGTGCAAGCCTGTCATCCAGTGCTAAGCACCCACAGCGTCTCATCTCGGCTCATTCCTTTTTTCTTAATATTTATTTTCAAGCCAGGCATGGTGACTCACACCTATAATCCCAGCACTTTGGGAGGCCAACGTGGGAGGATCACTTGAGGCCAGGAGTTTGAGACCAGCCTGGGCAACGAAGCGAGACTCTATCTCCAAAAAATATATATATAAAAAAAAATTAAGAGTGCTTAAATCAGCTGGGCCTTAGCCTATAGTCCTAACTGCTAGGTGGACTGAGGAGACAGGACTTAGCTCAGGAGTTTGAGGCTTCAGTGAGCTATGATTGCACTACTGCACTCCAGCCTGGGTGACAGAGTCAGACTCTGTCTCAAAAAAAAAAAAAAAAAAATTCAAGCTTGGCCCCCAACATATGGCATGAGTTGCCATTTCCTTCAACGGGGCTGACATTGCCTGCCTGCCATGTGCCAGGTTAATCTCTTTCCCCTCATTCTTTCTCAATCCTTATGACACTCCTACACAATTAGGCCCATTTTATAGATGAAGTGACTGAGGCTCAGTGGTGTTAGGCAATTTGCAGATCACTTAGCTAGCAAGTGGCAGGGCTGTGAGGTGGAGTCAGGTCTGTCTGGCTCCAGGGACTTTCCCTTCTCCACATGATCAAATGCTGCCTTCTAGATATTTTTCATTTACTTCTTTTTCATCCACTGAAGTTCCACATTCCTGTGGCATGTTACCTGCATTACTTCAATAGTTTCTGGTATTTTCCTTGCATCAGACCTTAATTCTCTCAACTGTCTGTCCCCCTCCATCCTCTCTGTAACTGCCCG